AATTGTGTATGCACGTGCATATACATGCATTTTTGTATATGTGTTTGCATGTTTGCATCTATGCATTTATGCATGTGCGTATGTTTGTATACATGTAGGTCTATAGGTATGCATGCATGCATGTATGTATGCATGTATGCCTGTATGCACGTATGCATGCATGCACGTATACACACATACATAGATATGTATATATGCCTACCGTCCTGCCTGCATGTATGCATGCATGTCTGTAGGTATGCATGCATGCATACATGCATGCATGTCTGTGTGCATGCATGCATGCATGCATGTATATCTAAATCCCTCTCTCTCCTATCTATATATATATATATCTATTATATATATATATATATATATGTATCCCGGGGGACGTTGCCGGGGGGTCCCGCCCAGGGACCTCGGCGGCGCATGGGGGGCCCGGTGCCTTACTTTCCTTGTGTTTTTAGAGGATTTTGGCGACCCAGAGACAGCAGAGCCCCAAGAGTTTGCAGGGAGCTCTAGAGGCTGCTCCCGCCTGGTGCCCCAGGTCTCCCGCAGGCCTCCCAGAGGCCTCCAAGAGAGCTCCCCAAAGCTCAAACACTTGGTTTTCACATCGTTTTTCCAAGTTTTTCTCCATGCAGCCTGTTCTGCATCCCCACGCTGCACGGCAGCCCCAGAGGACGCCCACACCGTCCCGGTTCGGCCCCAGAGGCTCCCAACCTTGTCCCCAAATGGCTCCGCATGAGAGGATGGGCGCGCACTTTCCCTGTGTTTTTAAAGGGTTTCGGCGACCTGGAACCTACACAGCCCCAAGAGGTTGCAGGGAGCTCCAGAGGCTGCTCCCGAAAGACTCGCACATGGGGATCTCGACACACACAGTGTTATGTATACGTGCATGCATCGAGATAGTTCGATTGATAGATCGCGAATCCGATCCGACGCCAATCGCAAACCGAATCCTGCACCGATACCCGCAGTCTCTAATGACCCGAAGTTCGGTCCTACATTTGTGCATCGTGTAATCAAAATAATTTCATCCTCCTCGGGATCATTTGCGCGGTCGTTTTGCACAGCGGCGGCGTCGTCCCGCATCGCCAGTCACATTCCCTCCTCCCGCCTTCGTCTTCCTTTCTCGCTTCTCCCTCCTCCCTCTTCTTTTGCTCTCCTCTCCCCCTGCCTCTTCCTTTATCGTCGTCCCTCCTCCTCGTCCTCCTCGTCCTTTTCCCTCTCCTCCCCGAGGTCTCGTCCATGAAGCGGCCCGCAGACATCCCGGACTCAGGCCGCCTGCCCTGGCGAGATTGCGGGCGTGTCGCCGCTCTCCCTCACAGAGGGGTGGGATGAGCGGGGATGAGCGGAGAGGAGATGGGGAGAGGGGGGGGAGGGGGAGGAGGAGGAGGAGGAGGAGGAGGAGGAGGAGGAGGAGGAGGAGGAGGAGGAGGAGGAGGAAGTAGGAGGGAAGAGGAGAAGGAGGAGGAGGAGGAGGAGGAGGAGGAGGAGGAGGAGGAGGAGGAGGGAAGAGGAAGAGGAGTCACTCCCTCGCTCCCTCCCTACCTCTTTCCCTCCTTCCTCCCCACTCCACCCCCCCCTCTCTTCCTTTCCCTTCATTTTCGTTTCTACTTCCTCCTTCCCCCCCGCCTTCCTTACCTCCTTCCCCCCCTCCCACAGGGGAAGGATAAGCAGGATGAGGAGGGGAGTGGGGGAATGCGGATGTGGAGGAGGAGAGGGGAGAGAGAGGAGAGAGAAGAGAGAAGAGGGGAGAAGAGAGAAGAGGGAGGTGGAGGAGGGGGTAGAAGGGAGGGAGGGAGTGAGGGAGGGAGGGCGAAGAGGTAGGAGGAGGGAGAAGGGGGAGGAGGTGGAAGAGGAGCTGGGAGAGGTTCGGGTCGGTCGTCCTCGAAGGCGCGAGTCGCGCTCGCAACTGCCGGGCGAGTGCCGAACCCATGTGGGCACGACAGTCGCCACCACCCTTAAAGCGGGCTCATCCTCACCTCAGGCACATGAAGCCGAGGGGAAGGACATTGAAACAACAAGAGAGCCAGAGGCCACAAACAAACGGTATACGTCTGCAAGACACATGAGGCTCCAGAGGCCATCAACAGAACAGACGATAGACGTTTGCAAGACGCACGTGAGGCTCCAGATGCCATGACCAGCAAAAGCGAGAGACGTTCGCCCTCGGCGCAAATGCGGCGCCGGAGGAGCCACCGGCCTGCGACCCCAGCGAGGGCGTGAACGACGGCGGGACCGGGATCCCCAGGCAAGTGGAGGGGCCCAGTCTCATCTTAGCCTGCCCCCCTCCCCTGGCGGAGGCGCTCCCGAAGCTATGAACAAGGGCCCCACCTCCGCCAGTCCTCGGGATGGGTCACCCGTGTACTGATGCTCCGCCCATCTGTCAGCACCGACCATCCCGTCGGCCTCCAGCCGACGGGGGGTGCCTATGCTATCCCCGAGTCCCTGACGGGGCCCTGCTATCCAAGCAGGGGGGGTCGGTTGGAGATGAGCGGGAGGACGGAGGAGAAGGAGGAGGAGGAGGAGGAGGAGGAGGAGGAAGAGGAGGAGGAGGAGGAGGAGGAAGAGGAGGAGGAGGAGGAGGGGGAGGGGGAGGGGGAGGGGGAGGAGGAGGAGGAGGAGGTGGTGGCGCCTTGTTAGATTGTCCAGACGGACGACACGACACGGCTCGACACGGCGGACGTTGAAGATGCCAAAGGCAGGCGGATACCGATAGACACTGTCGACCGAAGGAGAACGTGGTCGCGGAGAGCGTCGGCGGCCATTCAAGAACAGCTGGCGCTCTCCTCCTGCTTCTCCTCCGTCTCCCTCTCCTGACCCCTCTTCCTCCTGCCGCTGCTGCTGCTCCTCCTGGTCTCCTCCCTCCTCGTGGTCCTCCTCCCTCGTGCTTCTCCTGTTCCTCCTCCTCCTCCTCCTTCTCCTTCTCCTCCTCTTCCTCCTCCTCTCTCTCCTTCCCTCTCTCTCTCTCTCTCTTCCCGTTCCTCCTCCTTCTCCTCCTCCTCCACTTCTCCCGCCTTCTTTTGTTCTTGCTGCTCATCCCCCTCCTCCTTCCTCCTCCCTCTTCCTTCGTCGCCCGCTCGCGGCCAGGCTTCCTCTGCGACCTGCTGTGGTCTGACCCTGCGGTGGGGGGACGGGGCGGGGGGCTAGCGCGGGGAGGAGGTGCCCTTGAAGAGCGTTGTCCTTCTGCGCGTGCATGTCCCCGTTGGGGGAGGAGAGAAGGATGAAGAGGAGGAGGAGAAGGAGGAGGATGAGGGTGATCATCTGGAATGGAGTGACCATGAGCGTCGTATTGCTTTCGTGGTGGATTTCCAGCCAGTGCAGCGCATCGCAGTGGGTTTGCAACCTCTGAACGACGCAACCGCAGAGGAGATCTTCACAGTCTCTGCGATTATTTAATCGCTTCGCTCATTCCGCGGGCCCATACAGTCTCATGTCTGCCGTTTGCCCGAGGGCCTGGTGTCAATGCGGCGCTTTGGGGGTTATAAGCCTGTTGGATGTTCGTTGGGATACCGTGTGCTCGCGGCAGCGTTTTGGGGGCTTCCTGTGGCCGCTTGGGGGCCTCTTGGTGGCTTCTTCGGGGCCTTCTGAGGGGCTCTTGGGGGCCCATGGGGGCCTCTTGGGGACCTCTGGGGGCCTCCCGGGAGGCTCTTAGGACTGAGGGCTCGAAATGTTGTTTCGTGTTCCCCCTCTGTGGCCGTTCTTGGGGCCCTCTTGGGCCGTCTTGGGGGCGTCTTGGGCTGTCTTGGGGCGCTCTTGGGCCGTTTTGAAGCCCTCTTGGGAGCCTTTTGGGCCGTCTTGGAGCGATCTTTGGGGCCTCTTTGGTCGTCTTGGAGCGTCGGGAGGCGGAAAAGGCGAGAATGCGAGAATCCTTCAAAAACCTGAGGGAAATCGATGAATTTTGCCTCTTGGGGACCTTGGCAGGGCTCTTGGAGGCTTCTTGGTGCGTCGGGGAGCCATCTTAGGCGTTTTGGAGCGATATTATGGCGTCTTGGAGCTCTGTTGGACCATATTGAGGGCCTCTTGGGGGTCTCTGAGCTCTTCTCGGGGCTCTTGGGAGGCCCTGAGGGCGGCGCCCAGGAGCAGAACCATCCCCGACAGGGAGTTGCCCAGGGACCTGGTCAGGGTACTTTTCGTCCGGGGACCCCCAGGGGCCGCCCCGCGCGCGCGAACTAGAAAATTGTTAAGCAGTTACCGGAGATCTTAGCACGCCTCAGGCCCGTTGGGCCGGCGAATTTGTCAAATCTAGTTGATCATCGTTGGCTTCCTCCACATGTGGCGCACTACTTCTTGATTTGGCGTAAGCGTGAGCACAACATAGTCGCCGTAATGATGGACGCCCAACGGTTCTCGGAGCAAACGCTTCGATTTCCAATATCCAGGCGTCGCCCTAAACAGTTCTAATGTTGTTGTCCGTTTAGATGGGGGCACCTGTGCTCAGAGCTGCTCTGTCACCGGTTGGATGGTCGCAGTAAGGTGTCTCATCGACGAGTCGTGGGATTTCCAGCCTCTCGCTTCGTCGGGCTCGTTGTTCGCTACACCAGTGTAGTCGTTTCAAGCCGAAGTGCGAACACTCACGGAGTGCACGTTTTTCGCGCCAAGGTTTCTGACGGGCTCCCGCGGTGACAGAAACAGTACATGCGCCGCTCGCCTTTGAGCAGTGACGATGGATCTGTGCAAGCAACGGTAAGAGAACATGAAGAGGACAGACCATACCTGCGAACAGACCAGAACAGGAGGAGGAGGAGGAGGAGGAGGAGGAGGAGGAGGAGGAGGAGGAGGAGGGGGAGGAAAAAGAGGAGGAGGACGAGTGTAAACCCAAGAGTCATCAACGATGTTGGAATTAACCCTCCCTCCAAGCACCCTCTTCATAGGCCCCTACAAGGTTCATTTCCATTGAGGGAACTGCCTCGTTGGAAGACAGTCGTTTGAAGACCCTGAGGCATGGCAAAACATTGTTCTCGGGATTTCAGCGCCACGGATTAACCTGACTGCTGCGTCTTGACGATTTGGAATCGTACCAGAACGCCGTTTTTGGGACTGTAACACGCGAATCAAGATAACTGCTGCACCCGCATAATCCAGAACTCTTCCAAAACGCAGATTTTGGTACGTTGATCACGGGAATCCGTGAAACTCTAAGGTTTATGAACGAATGTGCACGGCGCTCAAGCGAGAACCACATTTTGAAAAGGAAACGCCTTCAATCCATGAAACTCTTGCAAACATTATAAACGAGTGTTCGCGGCGCTAAAGCGAGAGCCACATTTTGAAAGCGACCCGCCCTCAATCCGTGAAGCTCTTGTAATTTTTTAAACGAAAGTGCGTGGTGCTAAAACGAGAGCCACACTTTGAAAATCACCCCCGCCCTCAATCCGTGAAGCTCTTGCAGATTTCTAACGCGAATGTGCGCGGCGCTAAGGCGAGAGCCACACTTTGAAGACCACCCGCTCTCAATCCGTGAAATTCTGGCACATGTTTTTTGTAAAAAGTGTGCGCGGCGCGAAAGCGAGAGCCACATTTTGAAAACGACCCGCCCTCAGTCCGTGAAGCTGACGAAGTCTCAGGCGAAACGCCCGGTCCGCCGCAAAAACTGGCCTCGGGTTGCGACAGGGAAAGTTATCTATAAGGAAAAGGAATGGAGGAGGAGGAATGGAGGAAGAGGAGGAGGAGGAGGAAGAGGAGGAGGAGGAGGAGGAAGAGGAGGAGGAGGGCTGGAGTAAGCCGAATAGGTTGAAGTTACAGGAAGATTCCAGCGGCAGCCCCGCTTTGCAGAGGAACCGCGTTCCATCTGTGCAGCTGCAGCAGTTGCAGGTTTTTTCCCTAACCTTCTGTGTGAGTTGGGTCCTCGTTTTGAATCTGCAGCGCCCCTCCTCCTCCTCCTCCTCCTCCTCCTCCTCCTCCTCCTCCTCCTCTTCCTGCTCCCCCTCCTCTCCTGCCTCTGCTTTCTGCGTGCCCATGCCGGTACATCCCTCACACGTCTCGCAGCCCCACAGGGAGCTCCACCAAAGCCCCGAGGTGGTGTGGCCGCGTGCGACCTCCCCGCTCATTTCCGTACACCCTCACACGCCTCGTGACCCCACAGGGAGCTCCACCGAGGCTCGAAAGGGGTGTGGCCGCACACGGTTTCGGCACACCACTCACACGCTTCCTGGCCGCGCAGTGAGCTCCTCCGAAGTCCCCAGGGGTCGTGGCAGCATGCGGCCTCCCCGCCCACTTCGGCACTCCCTCGCGCGGCTCGTGGCCCCACATGGGGCACCGAAGTGGCAGGGTGCCGCGCAGTGTTCCCCCGCCCATTTCGGCACCTGTTACACGATTCGTGGCCTCGCAGGGTGCTCCACCGAAGGCCTCGCATAGCGTCCTGCGCCCACTCCGGCACACTCCTCACACGTTTCGTGGCCCCACAGTGAGCTCCACCGAAGGCCTCGGTGACGAGGTGCCGCATAGCGTCTCCCCTTTCGGCACACCCTTCGCACGTTTCGTGGCCCTGCAGGGGCGTCCACCGAAGGCCTCAGCGGCAGGGTTTTGCATGCGCCCCCCTCACGCGTTTCGCGGCCCCGCAGAGTCTTCTCCCCTTTCGCGGCGCATAGTCTATGGGGAGAGGGTCATGTCATGCGCTACTCGCAGCTGCTTTGAGGAAGGATGCCTCCGACGAGAGCCCATTTTGAAAACGAACGGCCCTGCATCCGCGTAACTGTTGGAGGCTTTTAAAGCAAATGTGCGAGGCGCTACGGGGACAGTCATATTTTGAAAGCAAACGGCGCTCCACCCGTGTAACCGTTGGACGCTTTTCGGACACATGTGCGCGGCGCTGCGGCGAGAGCCGCATTTTGAAATCGGTGGACCCTTCATCCGTGTAACTGTTGGAAGCTTGTAAAGCAAATCTGCGCGGCGTTAGCGCGGGAGTCATTTTTTACCCCCCCATCATCCGCGTAGTTGTTGGTTTTATTAACACATGTGCGTGGCGTTAAGACGAGAACAACGTTTTGAAAACAAGTGGCCTTACATCCGTGTAGCTGCTGGCAGGAAGCTTCAAGTTAAATGCCTGGCGGGACCTATTCTCTGGTGGTGCGACAGGGATAACTTATCGAACACGCCTACTGCTAATCACCGCCGCCCCCGTCTTTTATGATGCGTTTATGTTGGGGCAAGTTTGGGCAACGTTTGGCCAAGCTATCGAACCATGCGTTCCCCCAGTCGTTGTGGATTTTTTTGGGGAACACATGGGGGATGGCGGGGAACATCAGGAGGAGAAGGGGGGAGGAGGAGGAGGAGGAGGAGGACGAGGAGGAGGAGGAGGAGGAGGAGGAGGCGGAGGCGGAGGAGGAGGAGGCGGAGGCGGAGGAGGAGGAGGAGGAGGAGGAGGAGGCGGAGGCGGAGGCGGAGGCGGAGGCGGAGGAGGAGGAGGCGGAGGCGGAGGAGGAGGAGGAGGAGGAGGAGGAGGAGGAGGAGGAGGAGGAGGAGGCGGCATCCTGGGAGCCTCTGGGGGCACTCTTAGGGCCTCGTGGGAGCTCCCTGCGGCGTGCGTCGCCAGACGGTCTGAACCCAAATGGTATTAGAAAGAGGAGAGTGTGGGGGGGAGGAGTGGGAGGAGGAAGGGGGGGGTGGAGGCAGAAGGAGGAGGAGAAGGTGGAGAAGAAGGAGGAAGAGGAGGTGAAGGAGGAGGGGTGTGAACAGGAGGATGCTGATGCTGCTGCTGATGATGATGCTGATGCTGATGATGCTAATGCTGCTGCTGATGATGACGACGATGACGATGACGATGGCGATGATAATGATGCTGATGATGATGACGATGCTGATGATGGTGATGATGATGCTGATGCTGCCGCTGATGATGACGATGACGATGATGACGATTATGCTGATGATGATGCCGATGATGATGATGACGATGCTGATGAGACTGATGATGATGCTAATGATGCTGCTGCTGATGGTGATTCTGATGGTGCCGTTGATGATGATGATGCTGATGATGATGATGATGCTGATGATGAATCTGATGATGGTGTTGTTGCTGAATATGCTGATGACAATTCCGATAATGCTGCTGATTATTATGATGATGCTGATGCTGATGATGCTGAAGATGATGATGCTGTTGATGGTGATGCTGATGATGATGCGGAGTTGATGATGATTATGATGATGCTGATGATGCTGATGATGCTGATGATGACGACGATGACGATGACAATGCCGATGATGATGATGCTGACGATGATGATGATGATGATGCTGATGCTGATGCTGATTATGATCATGATGACGGTGATGATGACGATTGTAATGATGATGCTGATGCTGATGATGATGCTGATGCTCGTGCTGAGGAGGAGGTTTGAGGTGGGAGGTGGGAGGTAAGAGGCGAGGAAGGGGAGGATACCGTGGGCTTCGGCATGAACGACCGCGGCGTGTCGGTCTCCTTCGGGCGAGCCATGCCTCTTGACCGCAAATAGAAGGTATAACGTGTGATGCTCGGAGGGTTATGATGAGGACACCATTTGATACACGACGTTTTGACTCGCAGGCATATACGTACATAGCAATGTGTGCACGTGACTCTGCATGCATACACATGTATGTATGTATGTATGTATGTATGTATGTATGTATGTAATGTAATGTAATGTAATGTAATGTAATGTAATGTAATGTAATGTAATGTAATGTAATGTAATGTAATGTAATGTAATGTAATGTAATGTAATGTAATGTAATGTATGTGTGTATGTATGTATGTATGTATGTATGTATGTATGTATGTATATATACATATATGTACACAGACATGTGTACATATTTATACACACATGCACGTTGCACTGTGCCATGGTCCATCGTTCTTTTTGTCGTGTGTGGTTCTCCGCCGTCGGCACTCAACCATTGGGTTGGCTGCCATGGGAGTATGGTCGCCAGATCGCCCCCCCCAAAAAAATGAAAAGATGTATATGCACATGCACTCACGCATATGTATACATATACGTGTATGTATATATATATATATAGTTCAACATACATATCTATATATAAATATATATATATATATATATATATATATATATATAGATGCATGCATGCATGCACATGCGTTATGGCGATGGCACTCCTTACGCTAGTTTGGGCTAACACACACATGCGCGTGCATTCACATACACACATATATATATATATATATATATATATATATATACATGTATACATGTATATACACATGTATATATATACACATATAACTAGGTTTACCTGTTTATGTATGTATACAGACATGTACATTTATACAAACATATACATGCGTCATGCTTGTGTATATATATACATACATATGTATGTATACTCTTATACTATTCTACGAACGCACCGTTTTCAGTCTTCTAAAACTTTTTCGTTTATTGACCCCCTGGGGGATCCGTCGGGAGCTGGGCCCAGGGCCAACATGGGGCCCTTCGAGCGCTCAGGAAGACCGATCTTTTCACTCAGAGTGCGTCCAGGATTCAACATTGGGTCCCCACGAGGCGTTAGTGTTCCATGAACTGTAAGCGGCGATAGAAAAAAACCGAAGATGTATGAACACCCTTCTAGACGTGCCTCTGATTTTCGTCGGTATCGGATGTTGCCCGATCGTGAAATATAAAGACGCCACGAAGTTAAGAACCATCCGAGGAGCCCACGTGCCTTCCAACATGATCACAGGATGGCTATGATAAAGGCCCTAACGCGTCTCCAGGAGGGCCACGAGAGCCCTAGGCGGCTCCCAAGAAGCTCATTCCGTCTTGCCCTGCCCTCGGCCTCCCCCCCTTCCCACGAGAGCCCCGACACGGTTTCCAAGAAGGGCCCCAAGACGCCTTGAGAGGATCATAATACATTCTCAAGATGCCTTCAGAAGGCTCCAGGGGTTCAAAACAGCCCAGAGGCCCCCAAAAGGCCTCCAAAGGGCACCAAGACCCCTCCAAGAGGCTCTCCCAAAGAACCCCCAGGAAGGGCTCGAGACTTTCCAGGAGGTTCCCATGATGCCATCCGTTCTCGTCGTTTTTTCCCCGCCCTTCCGTCTCCTTCCGACCTCCGCTATTAGTTTTTTTGGCATGTTTTTTTGGTTCGCTCTCTCTCTCTCTCTCTGTCTCTTGTCTATAGGGACACGGACAACACGGCAACCAACGCGAGGATTCCCTCTTCTTCGTTTTTCTGTTCCTTCATCCTTCTCTCTCTCCTCTGCTTCCTTCCCTGCTTCCTCCTTTCCTATTCCATCCATTCCTCTCCCAGCTCCTTTCAAGCGGCCCCCTTCCTCCTCATTGCTCTTCGCTTCTCCTCTTCTTCACGAGGAGTTCGACAGGGGCTCAGGTGGTGGATTGACGGTGTGGGCACCCATGGGTCGACGTGCTGACCGCCCCAAGATGGCGCAGACACGCGAGCTGCTTCTGTCCTGGCTCGCCTCTCCCTCCGCTCCTTCTTCTCTCCTCCGCCCCCCTTCTCTCTCCCTGCTCTGCCACTCTCCCTTCTCCTTTCCACCCGCCGTCCTTTGACCCCTCTTCATTCTTGCTCCTCCCCTCCTCCATCCCCTGGCATTCTGATTGCCTAGTTTTTTCTCCTTTCCCTAATTCCTGAACCTCTCAAGAGGGCTCCGGCACGTCCTCCAGTGGGATACGAACATTTCTGAATCTCTCAAGAGGGCCCTGACAATGTCTCCATTGAGGAACGGGCAACACGGGAACCGCCATGGCGCGCCCTGTTTGCACCCCGTGCTTACCTTCCTCTTACTCGCAAGACATGCACACCATTGCTCCAAGGTCTGGGTTCGTGGCTCTATCAGTTTTCGGATTTTTTGCGCTTCCAGGGACCTCTAGACAGATGAGGTGGAGGAGGAGGAGGAGGAATCCTGACTTACCAGACCAGAAAGTTGGAATTGAGGTTGATTGGGAAGTTTGGCTTCGAGTGGACTGAACCCTTGTCGAGGGCAAAGGTTCACCTACTGAGTATGTGGCTTTGCAGGCCGACGGTGACGAGGGCAGACGACGAAGACAGAGTGGTGTCGACAATTTCGAAGAAGCGTACATCCCATTGTTTAGATGTGTGCCAGCTGGATCCCAAATAGTAAGTTCTTGTACTAACGTGGCGCAAGCTATGTGGTGCAAGCCATGTGGTGCAAGCCATGTGGTGCAGTCGATGTGGCGCAAGCTAGGTCTTGCAAGTTGTGCTGTGCAAGCCCTGTGGTGCAAGCCATGTTGTGCAAGCTACACGGTGCAAGCTATGTGGTGCAAGCCAGGTCGTGCAGACAGTGCCTTGCAAGCCGTGTGGTGCAAGCTGTGCGGCACAATCGAAGCGCCGGCCAGCGCACGACGCGCCCACGGGGCGCCCACCAGCGGCAACGTCGCGAAAAGCCGCGACCGCCCAGCTGGCCCACGGGCCGCCCACGGGAGCTCCCAGGCCGCGCACGGGGCGGCCACGAGGCGCCCACGCGGGGCAGCGGAGCGGCGACCAAGACATCCCGGCCAGCGCGCGAGGCGCCCAGGAGCGGCCCGCGGGCAGCATCGCGGCCGCGACGCGCCCACGGGTGGCAACGTGCCGAAGCCCTGGAACCCCCAGCCAATGGATTGCGTAAGAGCCAAACAGAAAGAAGCCCAAGGGCCAGCACTGTGAAGGGAAGCTCTTGGCGCCTCGCGTATTCCGATCCCATCCAGCCATACCAGAAACGATCGCCAGGGGCGTTGCCCGAGCGAAGGAAGTGCAGAACCACGCAGTGGAGCAGCCGCTGTGGAAGCGTGGCGGGAACGGAGGAAATGGAGGATGAGAAGGCGGCCTTTGCGGATATGTTGTTGTCGTTTGCCTCCTCCTGGCGTTGCATCCCTGGGGTCCAAGGCCCGTTTCCTTCAAGATACCCTTCCCTCATGCAGGAATCCATGCTGGTCCGGCTCCGTGTCTGAGCCCTGGTTCGGCTCGGCTTGATGCGGTTGAGCCTGTGATCCTGCCAGGGCCGACATCGTGAAGGATTTTCTCCGTATCCACGACTACGACCTGGTGGTTCGAGCGCACCAGGTGGTCGAGGACCGCCCCTGGGCGATAGCGCAGGGGACTCGATGGGATGGCGAAGATCTGTGGGGATCGGTCTCTGAGGCAGGATGGCCTGTGCGAGTGTGTGGTCGTCGTCCTCCGTGTGCTCCTCCTTCTGCTTCCGATGCCGCCGCTCTCGAGCCCGTGAGGACCCGGCGGCGCAGCCGAATGTCGGGTATTCCGCTGTTCTCCACGGAGTGCAAGCACTCGTTTGTGGTGTTCGGCGTCGTTTGACAGTTCCTTCGGTGATACTGCGATTTGATTCGCTGTGCTGAGTGATGAGTGCGAGTAGAGACAATTGGCTCCTCGGTTGCTACATCTCCAGAACTTCTCGCGGGGGTCGCGTCCTCGGTTCACCCGAGCAGGCGCGCTGGCGTTGTTCGTTGGAATTGACCTGGTGCCGCCAGGGGAACCTACCGCGGCGTGAGAGTCAACGGTTCCAGGGCTCGTCCGGGAGGTGCCCACGAGGCGTTTCAGAAAGCGCCTCGCCCTCGAGGGATCGAAACGGTGCCATATCTCTTCCTCCGCGGGAGGCGCCGAGGCTGGCGGAAGGCCAGCGGAAGCTGGCGGAAGTGAAGCAAGGAGCCGGCAGAAGGTCCGCGGAAGCTGGCGGAAACAGATGCCAGCACCCCTGGATCGGGCCAGCGCTCTTCCATCGGGGCTCAAGAGACGGGGGTCAATGCAAACGGGAGTCAGGCAGAGCGCCGGATCTTGCAGGATCCTGCAGAGCCAGGGGCGCACTGACTTTGGTTTGGGTGCAGGATCCCGCAGGATCCTGCAGGTTCTTGCAGGATCCTGCGACGCTTGACTGACCCGGGTCTGGATTGACCCGGGTCAGTAGATCTCCGATTCCAGGTCTCGGCCACTGCTCGGGCAGGCGCGCGGCCCCAGTTTTCGGCAGTCGTCCAGTGCTCGTGGGCTCCTGCAGGCGTCTCGAAGCTCAAAGAATTAGAGCGAACGGTTTTTCACATTTTTCGGCCTCTCGGGGTCCTCACCGGGCTTCGGGACCGTCAAAAAATGATTCGGGATAAGAACTTGGTCCCAGGGCCTCAGGGAAGTGGTCGAGAAGTCGGGGGCCCGTGTCTCGAAATTATCTGGGCGAAGGGCCCAACCGTATTCAAGTGTGAGTGCCTTACGGCAGGTGGAACGACGGTGGGGTGACGAAGCGTGCGAGGTGTATGCCGAAATGTGCCGGGTGACGCAACGCGGGCGCTGCCACTAGAGCCTTCGGCTCCCTGTCGGGTCACGAAGCGTGTGAGGGTTGTGTTGAACTGGGCTGGGTGACGCCGTGCGGACGCTGCCACTGGGGCCTTCGGTGGGGCTCCCTATGGGGTCACGAAACGCGCGATGGGGTATGTCGAAATGAGCGGGGTGACGCCATGCCGGCGCTGCCACTGGGGCCTTCGGTGGAGTTTCTTGTGGGGTCACGACACGCGTGAGAGGTGTGTCGAGAGGAGCGGGATGACGCCGTGCTGGCGCTGCCGCGGGGGTCTTCGGCGCGGCCCCCTGCGGGGTCGCGAGAAGTGTGAGGCGTGTGCCGAAAGGGACATGCGGAGGGCGGAGGCAGGGATGGGATGAGGGGTAGGGGGGAGGAGGAGAGGCGGGGCGCCACCCCTTTAAAGCAAGACACTACAGGACGGTTGGGAAGCACCGAGACGCTGGACGCCTGGGCCTGGCACGCCTCCCACCTGCACCCACGTGTCTGGGCCTACGGTCCACACCGTTGACAGGGATGGGTACTCTTCCCCAGGACACCCTTTGCATCCTTGCCTCTTCGGCTCATCCCGAACGACCTCTCGATGGCCAGCCCCTCTCGAGAAGCTTCGACCTGCGTGTCCGAGGGGCTTGCGTCCTCGTCGCGCCTCCCCTGCCGTGAGTCTTGACCGTGCCTTCCTCCCGCTGGCGTGCGCGGGGGGCAGGGGCCATGCTGGCCGGTAGCGAGGGGGTTTCGCCCACGGTCAAGTCGGGCCTGTCCCTCTACAGGAGGAATATTCAAAAATAGCAAAAAAATAGTCTGCGGACGATTTTTTTTCTATTGTTGGGCATGTTTGGAGTATTTCTGGGGCATTTTCAATTTTTCCTCCAAAATGCGCCTTTAGGGGGACAGGCCCGACTTAGGCCCACGGGCCGCTGGCCGGAGGCCGCAGGCATCCCGCCGGCGGAGGCCGGGCGCAGCCTTCCCGAGGCGTCGCGCGCGGGCGCGGTGGGCCGTGGCCGGGGCGGCCGGCGTGTGGGCACGCCGGGCAGCAGGGCCGCGCCGCGCAGGGGCGACGCGCTCCCCGGGCGCGGTCCTCTGCTCGCAAAGTACCTACTCGCAAACGCCCGAACAACGCATGTCTGCTTCGATGTAGGTTATCGTAGATCCCCCTCGGCGGATCCAGGCCATCTGCGAGTAGTTACTTTGCGAGTAGTGGAGCGCGCTCGTCTACTTGCCGTCGAGTGGGTCTGGCAGACAGCATCGCCACCGCCGCCTCGGCCGCATCTGCGCCGAAGGCTTGTGGAACTCCGCGCTCCAGGGCTCCGGGCAGCAGGGTCAGAGGGGCCCGAGCTCTTACTCGGAGACGGTGTCATCGTGACAGACAGAGAGAAGGCTGATCGTTCGAATTGCCCTTCGAGGCAGCAGTATTCGTTTCACGCTCGAGATTTCCACGAGGCTTTGAGGTATTTGCGCACCATCATCGGAGTTGCGAATTGCGGATATATTGCCTGGCGGGGCCAACAGCGTCAGACTTTGGCCATGTCTGCTTGTATCTTTTCTCCTGGTCAGTCGGGCACGGCGGATGGCGCCATGCTCCTCCTCCTCCCCCCCTCTGCAGCTTGCTCCGTTCTTCCATTTTCACATTTGAAAGCGGTGACAAACCGAAGTGCTTGTAAGGCAGAAGGCGTGAGAGGAGATGAGGGAACTCGGGGAATGAGCTCGAGGAACAGGAGGCGCTGGAGGGACAGGGCCAGTGCATCCTCGAAGGGAGCCACAGCTTGCGCCTGCGGTCCAGTATGGCCCTCGGCAGGCCGCACGGTATGTGTCGTCTCAGGAGCTCATCATCTTCCTCGTCCTCGTCATCTTCTCCTCCGCCCACGGCCCTTCGAGGGCTTGTCACCACCATCGTCACAATGGAGTTCATACTCATCACCATCTTCGCTCCCCGCGCCTCGCTCCGTCCTGTGCTCGTCGCCCTCTGGTCATCTCTCGTCGTCTTCCCCATTTCTTTCCGCAGTCCTTCTGGCAGTAAGAGGAACGACCTCGCGACCTCCCAGCGTTTCTGTGTCTCCTCCAGCCGTGCCCGCGCTGCGGCAGGACGGCTACGAGTTTTTCGCGGATCGGAAGCTGGTGAGGGGCAGTGCAGGATTATCAACATGACGAGGAGTAGGGGGATGTCGAGGAGGAGAGGGAGGATAATGACGTGGAGGAAGAGAAGGAGGAGGGGAGGGCGTGGATGGATGGATAGGTGAGGATGGAGGGGTCGGAGGAAGAAAAGGACACCGAGGAGGAGGAGGAGGAGGAGGAGGAGGAGGAGGAGGAGGAGGAGGCGGAGGCGGAGGAGGAGGAGGAGGAGGAGGAGGAGGAGGAGGAGGAGGAGGGAGGAAAATGAGGGGGCGGCGACGGTGGACCAGGTGGATGGGGAAGTAGAGCGGTGGAGGAATCTGGGGGAGGGGGCGGCAGTAGAAGAGGGGGAGGAGGTGTCAGGAGGCACTCGTGTCATCAAAAGCAGCAGTGCAGCACTGGCAGCGGCAGGAGGTGGAGGACGAGGAGCAGGTGGTAGTGGAGGAGGTGGTGGAGGCGCAAAACACCATCCGCTGTTGCCCCTCCCTGCCTCCCTTCCTCCCTCCTTTTCTTTTCTGACATGGGACCATCCCTCCCCACATCCTTCCCTGCCCTTCTCCTCGCCCTTCCCACCACCTCCTTGTTGTCCCTCCCCTCGGCCCTCCCCCTTTCCGTCCCCTCCCCCTCCTTTTAGCCTCCCCCCCTCTGTCCCCTCCCCTTGTCGCCTCGCCCTCCCCCCCCTTCTCGCCTCCCCCTCCCTCTCCCTTTCTGTCCCTTCCCCCCTCCTCGCCCCCCTCCCCCGCGCCAGGTGACCATCTTCTCCGCGCCGAACTACTGCGGTGAGTTCGACAACGCGGCGGCCGTGCCGCCCCCGAAACGGCGTGGGCCCGTCGGCCGGCCCTAGGGTCCCGGGGCAGGGCCTAGGATGCCAGGGCCTGCCATCTCCCTTCTCCTCCTCCTCCTCCTCCTCCTCCTCCTCCTCCTCCTCCTCCTCCCCCTCTTCCGTAGCCATTTTGGCTCAAGTAAAACATTTCTCGAGGCAGCTGGCCAGGTCAGCTCCCGTGGAGCCTCACAGGTGCTTCAGTGCAGAGGCTCCCTCGATTTTGTTTCACTACATACGCATTTTGCCTCTGTGTACACACCCTGTGTGCACCCTCTTTCTTCGAAGCAATGGGGCTTGCTAGAGGTGAGAAGAGGGATGTCGACGAGAAGGGTGTCAGGAGTGCGATTGCCAGCAAAGACTCTCGCAAGCGCGGCGCCAGTGCGAGTACGTCACGCCCATCGAAGCCGAGAGATCGTTCTAGATCGAGCTCCCATTCGCGTTCCAACCGGTCTCGTTCCAGCTCCAGTGGTTCAGCAAGGGTGGTGCGCTCTTCGCCCTCTGTGAGGAGACCCAGATCGGAAGTGCGCATGTATACGCCATCACCGTCTCCACCTAGACAAGAGCCAGCATGGATGGCGGGGCTGATCTCAGAGATTCGAACCAATAACCAAAAGATCAGTGCTATGGAGGTTTCGATGAAGACGGAACTCGACAACATGAAGTCCAGCCTCCAGGTTCATGATGCCAATGTCAGTGCCCTCAACAGTAGGGTCGTCGAGCTTGAGAAGATCTCGAAGGGCAGCATCACGGAAGCCGTCACCGCAGCAGTGGACGCCAAGCTTCAGTGCATCCAGAGCCAGATCGACACGCTCCAGTCCCGACCGCCGCCATCAGTGACTCCTTCGACAGCAGCTTCCTCGAGGAGTGGCAGCCACATGGGAGCAGGTGAACCAGCTGCAGATGAGTCAGATCCATATGTCAGATTTGTTGGCACCTTCCCCAGGCCAGTGCTCAAGAGGATTCGCTCCTTGCATTACGAGTACCTGGTCAGTCGATATGGGCACCTCATGCAGGACGCTGTCCCGTTCTTCCACGCCGTCAGCCAGAGCTACAAGATCACGTTCAAGACCCTCATCGCAGCCAAGCTCTTCCAACAGACGGTCAACCAGGACGGCCTCTCATGGACGGATCCTCGCGACCGTAAGGTTCACCCGCTACGTGTCCGCGCTGACCTCCCTGTGGATGTGCGTTCTAAGAATCGTCGGGTCAGTGAAATATATCAACCCCTCAAGGACCTTCTCACTGGCAGTGACAAATGGACCCAGGACATGCGCCTGGGCGTCAACGGCTTCAAGGGCACCGTGCAACTCATCTCGGATGAAGACGTCTGGATCCTCGTGGACCTAGTCGCCAATGCGCGCATGGGGGGGACCGTGTACGACTTCCAGCCGAACATTGCCAACCTTGAGTACTTCGGAGTCTCCGCCGAGCAGTTCAACACCATCGTCGAGCAGGCTGCTGCAGCGGCCGCCTGACGGTCTCCTCAACGGCACCATCGGCATGAGGAGCCTGGCAATCGACAACCGATTGCGGAGCCGGATACCAGCTGTATCCAGGCTCGTGGGTGCATCGGAAGTCATGGGCTGCCTGATCCTCATGTGAGTCCCCCCCAGCTGGAGGCTGGGGACAGCGCGCCTGGTGCTGCATCTGTGCCTGTCCTGTTGCAAGTTGGTGTCGAGAGCAGCGATTTGTCTTTTTCCTCTGCCCTCTCTCCCGCTCCTGGCTCCCTGCCTTTTCCCATCCACAACCAGTTGAGCATCGTGAGCTGGAATTGTCAAACTATCCTGGGGTCGGTCTTTTCTGATCAGTCGGTACTTCGAGAGAAATACACTCGTCTTCGTAAGCTGCTGTCTCGACACCAGATTGTTGGCTTGCAAGAAACACACGGTAATAATGAGGACCTTGATCAGCTTCGGAAGGACTTCAAGAGTCACCAGGTATTCGGCACATTCTGTGACACCTGTTCTGCTGGCGGTACTATCCTCTTCATCCATCGTTCCATCCTCTCCTGCTTCTCCAGGGTTGTCGAAAGTGTTATCTGCAAGGGTCGTATTATCGCTATCTCTCTCTTCTCGGACTCCTCCTCCCTCCAGATCGTCAACATGCATATCGTACCTGACTGGAGTGAAAGGATTACTCGTATTATGTTTGAGAAAGTTCGTCGTCTTCTATTGCCACCCTCTCAGTCTCTTGGTTTCGTATTCGGGGATATGAATTTCCTGGCATATGGTGAATCTCGAATGTATCTAGACACAGGTGCTGAAGGTCCCACAACGAATCGTTTAGCCAGTTCATTTGCCGCCGCCTTGCCTATGCTTGCGGAAGTAGTGCAAGATCATGACACTCACCGCATGGTGCGCGAAGGCCGCCTCTCGCTTGCTCGGCTCGACCGCATCTACACTAACATGTGCACCCAGGATATTCTAGATCACTGTCCGCGGTCAGGCACCTGCTGGGCTGTCGCGGACACTCGGGCACCATCGGACCATGCTCCTGTATATCTCTGTCTTAATAAGTGGGCCCCTACTGGTCTCTTGAGGATCCCTACGTGGATTGCCCAGCATGCCTACTACGAGGAGATTATCAAGCAAACTCTGGATTGGGAAGGCCTCTCTGGAGATGTATTTACTCGGGTGGAGGAGGTCAAGGAGGTGCTAAGGTATGCGGCCCAAAAGGTGCGCACGTTCATCTCGGACAAGGGTGCCAAAACGGATGAGGAGAAGGTTTCCTGTTTTCTCTTGGTCTTGAGGGGGGTCCGTTGTGGTGACCCTGATAAAGCTCGTCGCGGGGTCCGTGGCTTCCCCAAACTGGGTGACTTTTTTGATCCCAAGATGTGTTGTTGGACTGACCGCCCAGGATTTGATACTCTGCTAGGAGACTATATGCGCCGTATTCTTGAAGTGCGAGAGCGTGCTGAACAGGCCGCCCAAGAGTGTTCTGGGTCAGCTGATGCTCGATCTGCTGCTAATATTGCGAGAGTTCGGCGGCTCAGTCAAGCCTGGCGTGCATCTAGTCGGCAAGTTTACCTTCGTGCCATCACGGACGCGGATGGCCACTCGCATGAGGACGCGGATGTCTGTGCCCAGTTGCTCGCGGATCACTGGCAACCTATCTTCAAAGCCGGCACTGCTGATCCGAATCAGGTTGCCAGCCTCGTTTCCCTCTTCTCGCCCATCCCTGATGACGATTATCAGTATCATGCTAACGATGGATGTATGTATCCCTGGATTCTGACCGAAGATTGGTTTTACAGTATTCTGACCGCCAAAAAAGACACGACCCCAGGGCCTGACGGTATCCCATACTCATCCTGGAGGGCTTCGGGAGACATTGGTAAGAAAGTATTGTACGATCTCTACCTTCACCTGATGCAGCTGGGGACGCTTCCTGGCAGTTTTAACGAGTGCACTGCTGCGTTCTTGCCTAAGGGCTCGGCACAGCTGGGCCATGAGTCGGCGCGACAGCCTGCTTCGACGCGTCCCTTATCACTCTCGAACTGTGATAACAAGTTGCTCAGCTCCGCTATTGCAGTCCCTATTTCTAAGGTGGCGGAGGATAAGGTGGACAAGGCCCAGAGGGGCTTTATCAAGGGGAGGCAGATGTTAGACAACATCGTGGAGGTGGATTCTAATCTCACTATCTGGTCTGCTATGTGTGGCTGCAAAAATACTGGCGCGGCTTTATTTGACCTGAAAGCTGCTTTCCCCTCCATTCATCATATGTTTATTTGGGCCTGCCTGCGGGCCCTTGGCATTCCTGAATTCGTCATCGCTGCCATCATCGCCCTGTATAAAGATTGCGTCATGTATATTGTTTTCGCTGGATCTCGTAAACACTTCATCCTAGTCGAGCGTGGTGTGAAGCAAGGGTGCCCGCTTAGTGGGATTATTTTCAGTATCTGTTTCGACCCCGTGGTCCGTCGCCTCAAGGAGATTGCCTATCGGATACCCGTCGTTCTGAATGCGTTCGCTGACGATCTTAGCGTTACCAGCTCTGACCTTATCGGTGTATTGCCGCAGCTGCTCCGCTTGCTTTGCCAGGCTGGCCTTGGGTCGGGGCTCATCCTCAACCTCTCTAAATGCCAACTTATCTTCCCTCACTACCACACCTTCCTTAATGCGGTGGAGCTCTGCAAGGCCCAGGGAGTAAGAATTCGGAAGTTCATTATTGGCCAGAACGGCTGGTATCTTGGCGTCGGAGTTGGCATTGGTGCCTGTGACAGGAGCTGGGCCCCAGTATTAATTCATTTGAAGGAGCGTAGCCTGCGAGTGAAGAGCCTGAAGCAAGGCCTATCTATCAGTGTGCAAGCGTACAACACTTATGCGGTGACTGTTGCTGGTCATTGTGCCCAGGTCCATCCTCTTCCCCACTCTGCTCGGAATATTGAGAAAGATGCGGTTCAGCTACTTACCTGCTGTCCTCGACATGCTTTTCCTCCCTCCAGTATGTACCAGCTACGTGAGTTGGGCCTCGGTGTAAGTGTTCGGAGGCTGGAGATCTACGCCCGTGCCTGTCTTTTGCGCGCTGCCACCAAGAGCGAGGCCTTTCTTTTTTATGATAGAATCGTGCAAGAACTGAGTCAGTCCGATGACGTTTGTATTACCTGGAATACTAATCCTATGGCAAGGCACTCGATCTTGATGAACATGCGTAGGGAGTATCAACAGTTCTATAGTATTAGTAGCCTTCCAGACATTCCTGAGCGTGCTGTGCAGAGGTGGATTTCTAAGACCCTTACCAGCCAGTTCCCTATCCCGCCCGTGGCCTCCTCGATACTTCCTCGTATACGGAAATGGATCCCTGGGGCCCTTCTTGAGTCTGCTGATCTTTGTGTCCTTCGGCTGAACATCATTAGCAAGTACCTGCCCGCCTATATCGTTACTGCTATATTGAAAAGTATCTTCAACGGGTGGAACACCACGAGACGGTACAGATGCGGGGCAGAGACGTGCAAAATGGGGTGCCCTGCTGTGGGAGGCGACGATATCCTTCATTATCTCTGTTGCCCCGTCGCCACTGCCTTCCTCACCAAGCACATCCGATTGCTTCCTGAAGAGTACGGTTCTGAGCCTCTTCCCTCCTTCCTTCCCCACCTGTTCCCTGCAGACAAAGAATGCATGTTGTGTATAGCGCTTGCTCTCGATGCCCTTCATTGTGCCTTTCAGTCCCTTCGTGCCTCCCCCCTCCCCCCCTCCCCCGCCCGTACCCGTGGATTGCTTGCTGCCCGCCTTCGCACGACGGCTCGGCGGTCCAAGCGCGCCACGGCCCTCCTGCGAGGCGCGCCCACCCCGCCCGCTGTGCCGCCGTCGCCGCCGCCGCCTTAAGACAGTCAGACTGGTTTCCGAGGCAGTGCATTGGGTCGGGTCGGCCAATGCACTACCTTCCCCTCTGGCCGGTGCTACTCCTCCTCCTCCCCCTCTTCCTCTTCCTCCTCCTCCGTCTCCTCCTCCTCCTCCTCCTCCTCCTCCTCCTCCTCCTCCTCCTCCTCCTCTCCTTGTTCTCCTTCCCCGCCGCCTCGGTCCCCCTCTCCCCCTCCCTTCCTCAACCTCCTTCTGCGCCGCAGCTCGGCTCCACGAGTCTCCAAGTTCGCGCCCGCGCCTGCGGGCGCGCGCGCGCGCCGGTCGCCGCGGTCGCGGAGGCCCCCTGGTAGCCACCTGGGGACCTGGTTTCCTTTTGGGAGGGGGGAGGCCAAGAGAGGGGTGATGACTAGGGTGGGGTGGATATCATGGCGTGGGCCATGATATCTCCTCAGATTTCATGGCGTCTCTTCTTATTTCATCACGTCCCTGGTCCTCCCCCTGGGCCGCGCACATGCTGCCAGCCATGATTTGCGCCCTCTTCTCCTGGACGCCCCCCTCTTGGCCGCCTCCGATGGGAGGGGGGGACGGGGGAGAGAGAGGCCACGATGCTATCCTGTTCAACCGAGGCCCAACACCAGGGAGGGGGGAACAGGGAAAAGAGGAGTGCCCGCTCATCGTCCCTGCAGCGCGTAACTGCTGTGGACGCGGTATCTTGTGAGTATCGATGTGCTTGAGGCATCCTTGTCTATAACGCTGTGGACGAGGTGCTACGGCGAGGTATCGCTACGCAGCCTCTTGGCGCAGCTTTCCAGATCGGGGATGAGCTCTGGCTGCGCCTTTGTACCCACTGTGAGGGAAGGGAGGCTTTTGTTCGTATATAAATCGTGGCCGATCTCGTTTTCGTCGGGTCCGATGCTCGATGTAGTACTTGGACCCACTTGTGAGCGTTGGCTGGTAATTGACTTTGTGCATCCGGGAGTTCCTGGGTCAAATGGTTCAAGTACTGTATCCTGATGATGTTCATGTTGGTATAGTCTTCGTCGATCTCCCACTCCACCTCCACCTCCTCCTCGTCTTTGTCCTCGTCCTTGTCCTCGTCGTTCTCGCTTCCTCATCCTCTCTTTCCTCCTTCTCCTCCTCCTCCCCCTCTCTCCTCCCGTTTCTCCTCCCCGCCTCCCCCCTTGTCGTCGTCGTCGTCGTCGTCGTCGTCGTCGTCGTTGTCATCGTCGTCGTAGCGTCGTCGTCGTCGTCGTCGTCGTCGTCGTCGTCGTCGTCGTCGTCGTCGTCGTCGTCGTCGTCGTCGTCGACGTCCTCCGCCCCCTGATCCGCATGCGCGCAAGGGGCGCGAAGGCGGCGCGCGCTTTGCCAGGGCCCGCGAGGGAGTGCAGACACCCCGCGCTTCTCGGGGGCCCCCAGACGGTGCGGTGACCACGCCGCGTGGCCACCGCACGGCTTCCTGCACGCGGGCCGCTCTCCCAGGGCGTCTCGGTCGACCGGGGTGACCGTGCGGCGACGGGCCGCGCGGTGAGGTCTCCCCTGGGTTTCCGCAGTTCACCGCGCGGTCCGTCGCGGCATGGCCTTTGGGATCCCTGGAAAGACACCCTCGCGCTTGGTCCCCCGCGAGAGAGCGGAGCTCGGTGACCCAGGCAGGTTCAGCCTCGATCCGATCGATCCGATTTGAGATCGATTTTGACTGATTCGGTCCGACTAGATTCTGATGATTGTACCATCAATCCGATGCAGCCCAATGCCTGCATGGCGCTGTGATGCGTGCTGGCGCGGCCGATTAGATTCGGCTGACTCCGTACCCGTGCAGCCCGATACGACGCGCATTCCGATCCGGTCCGATATCTGGAGTGGATGCTGACCGACCCTGGCCCATCCTGCCTGGGATCCGAGGGCCCAGGATGGACCCAGCGACGTCTGTCGGCGGCGGCCCACACGGTGGAGATGACTTGGGGGGGTTGGATCTCATGGCGGCGGCCATGACCTATACATATATACATATGTATAGGCATACATATTTATACATATCTCTATATATTGTATATCTGTATGTCTGTATGTCTGCATGTCTGCATGTCTGTCTGTCTGTCTGTCTGTCTGTATGTATTTATGTATGTATTTATGCATGTGTGTACACATGTATGTATGTATGTGTGTATGTCTGCATGCATACATGCATGCATGCATGCATGTATGTATGCATGCATGTATGCATGTACGTATGCACGCATGTACGTATGTACCCATGTACGTATGCATGTATGTATGCATGCATGCATGCATGCATATATGTATGTATGTATGTATGTATGTATGTATGTATGCATGCATGCATGCATGCATGCATGCATGTATGTATGTATGTATGTATGTATGTATGTATGTATGTTCGTTGGTAAACCATGTATATGTATGTATGTGTGTATGTGTGTATGTGTGTATGTATGTATGTATGTATGTTTGTATGCATGTATATTGTATGTATATACGTATGCATGCATGCATGCATGTATGCATGTATGTACATTGCATGTATGTATGTCTATAGGTATGCGTGTAGGTGGGCATGTATGTATGTATGTATGCATGCATGCACGCATGCATGCATGCATGTAGGTATGTATGTATGTATGTATGTATGTGTATATGTATGCGTGTATGTATGCATGTATGCATCTAGGTATGTATATATGTATGTATGTATGTATGTATGTATGTATGTATGTATGTATGTGTGTGTGTATGTATGTATGTATGTATGTATGTATGTATGTATGTCATGCACGCACGCATGCATGTATGTATGTATGCATGTATGTCATTATGTACGTACGTACGTAAGTATGTATGTATGCATGCATGCATGCATGTATGTATTTATGTATATGTTTGTATGTGTGTATGTATGTATGTATGTATGTATGTATGTATGTATGTATGTATGTATGTATGTATGTATGTATGTATGTATGTATGTATGTATGTATGTGTGTGTATGTATGTTTGTTTGTATGTATGTATGTATGTATGTATGTATGTATGTATGTATGTATGTATATATATATATATGTATGTATGTATGTATGTATGTATGTATGTATGTATGTATGTATGTATGTATGTATTGATGTCTGTCTTTCTGTCTGTCTCTCTGTCTGTCTGCATGCATGCATGCATTCAGGTAGGTAGGCAGGCAGGCAGGCATGCATGCATGTAGGCAGGCAGGCAGGCAGGTAGGCATGTAGGTAGGCAGGCAGACAGGCAGGCAGACAGGCAGGCAGGTATGTATGTATGTATGCATGCATGCATGCATGCATGTATGTATGTATGTGCATATTAAGACATATCTATATCCCCATATCTCCTGGCCCCCTCTTCGTCTTTCGATTAATTCCGTTCCGTGGCTACCCCTCGTTCGCGCACGTGCCTCGGGCCATGATTCGCAAATCCCCTCCTCCCCCTCCTCCTCTTACTCCTCCTCCTCCTTCTGCTCCTTCTGCTCCTCCTCCTCCTTCTCCTCCTCCTCCTCCCTCATCCTGCTCTTGGACTCCCCCCTCTTGGACGCCCCCGATGGGCCCGGCGCCGTCTGGCGCAGGCGGACATAGGCGGCGTCACCGACCCGAGCCTGCTTCTGGCTCGGAGCCCCGCCCTCCGAGAGCGGAGGCGGGGGGTGCGCGCGCCGAGGTGCTGTCCGTCAGCGAAGAGCTGGTGTGCTCCTTCCAGGCCCCGGGGCCGGCTCCGGCAACTACAGAGGGGGATGCTGATGAGGAGGAGGGGGAGGAGGATTTGGAGGAGGAGGATTGGGAGGAGGAGGAGAAGGAGGAGGAGGACCAGTGTAAACCCAAGAGTCATCAACGATGTTGGCATCAACCGTCCTTTTGAGCTCCCTCTTCATAGGCCCCCGGCAATGGTTCATTTCCACTGAGGGAACTGCCTCGTTGGAAGACAACCGTTTGAAGACCCTGAAGCATGCCAACAAATTTTTCTCGGACTCCTACTGCCACGGATCAACCTGACTGTTGCGTCTTGACGATCCTGAATCGCGCTGGAACGCCATTCCTGGGACTTCAACACTGCGAATCAACGTTACTGTTGCACCCTCACAATCCTGAATCTTTCCACAACACAATGTCGGGTACGCTTGACCATGGGAATCCGTGAAACTCTTGCAACTATTGAAAACGAATGTACGCGGCGCTAGGGCGAGAGCCAAATTTTGAAAAGGAACCTCCCTCAATATGTGAAACTCTGGCAATTTTTTACAACGACTGTACGCGGAGCTCAGGCGAGAGCCACATTTTGAAAACGGCCCGCCCTCAATCCGTGGAGCTCGCAATTGTTCAAACGAATGTGCGCGGCGCTAAGACGAGAGCAGCATTTTGAAAACGACCCGCTCTTAACCAGTGAAATTCTTGTAATCTTTTAAAATAAATGTGCGCGTCGCTAAGGCGAGACCCACATATTGCAACGACCCGCCCTCCATCTGCAAAACCGTTGCCAATTCTTAAGCTTCTTGGTCATAAATGTTGATGACGTCTCAAGCGAAACGCTCAGCCCGCCCTAAAACTGGCCTCGGGGTGAGACAGGAAAAAGTTAGTCATTAGGAAAACGAATTGATGATGATGATGCTGATGATGATGATGGTGGTGGTGGTGGTGATGATGATGATGATGCTGATGATGATAAGCCTGATGATGCTGATGATGCTGATGATGATGATGATGATGATGATGAGGAGGAGGAGGAGGAGGAGGAGGAGGATGAGGATGATGAGGAGGAGGAGGAGGTAAAACAGTGGGAAGCCCAGGAACGACGGGATTTGCAGCAGCGCTGCTCTCTGCTCCCTTCCAGCCTCCTCCGCTTCCAAGCCTTCTCCTCCTCCCACTCTCCTCTCCCTTGCCCTCAGTCTCTCCTCTCCAACCTCCTTTCTCCAACCTCTTCCCTCCCCCCTCCCCGCATCGGAGCGGCATCCTGATGCTTGCCTCTGTCGCTTGCCGCTGCGCGTGCTCTTCGGGCGGGTGGGGCCAGCGCCGGCGCGCACAGCGAGGTGCTGCAGCCCGAGGCGTGCCCCAGATCGGTCCGAGTACGCACGCAGGTGTGGTGCTGAAGTGTACGAAGGCAACGACGACGCCGTCGTTCTCACGATGTCCTACGGCTTGCAGGTATTTGCCGTTAAGCGGGCACAGGAGCCACCTTTATGTTCCGTGGCCCTCCCTCTCCCCTCTCCTCTGCGTCACCGCTGCGTTCAGCGGCAAGCCGTTTTTGTACTCCCTCATCCTTCTCAGTTTGAGGAGCAACAGCGACACCAGCATGAACTGGCTGAGGTCCGCGCGGATTTCTTGTCTCGGCGCTGGGCCTCCCTCCCCACATACGCACCTGGCGGGGCCTCCTGGGAAGGGGTGCAGGGGGGAGAGGGTGCCCCAGCGCCGACACAGGAAACTCGCGCAGAGCTTCAAAAGTTAAGGTCCATGCCGTGTTTTTTTTCTCCTACTTTTGCCAGCGGCGCGCCTCCTCCATCCTCTCCTCTCTCTCCTTTCCTGCGCCCAGCGGCGAGCCGCTTTTGTGCGCCCTCTGGTGAACGGACCCTCCTGGCCTCGGACGGATGGCCAGCTGCGTATATACCAATCGCGCCCCTTCCGTGCACCCCTGGGAGGTGCTGAAGCCGGAGCCCATGAACCAGTGAGGCGAGATGCTGTGAGCGGGTCCTCCTCGGTGCTCTGATGGGAGGATCCCAGCGCTTCCCTGCTGTACTAGGGCTTGTGGGGGAGACAGGGGGAAAGTCCTCGACTTCCTTCTTCCCTCCCCCTGGGGGAGGAGAAGGAAAGTGGGAGGAGACTGATGCTGATGATGATGCTGCTGATGATGATGATGATGAAGTTGTTGATGGTGATGATGCTAAGGATGCTGATGATGATGAGGATAACGATGATGATGCTGGTAGTGGTGGTGGTGATGATGATGGTGGTGGGGAGGATGAGGATGAGGATTATCATGAGAAAGTGGATAATGATGCGGATGCTGATGATGCTGGCGATGATGATGATGATGATGATGATGATGATGATGATGCTGATGATGATGATGATGATGATGATACTGATGCTAATGGTGCTGCTGATGATGATGACGATGGCGATTTGGATGCTGCTGATGATGATGTTTATGATGATTATGATGATGCTGATGATGATGCTGACGATGATGCTGCTGCTGCTGATGATGATGATGATAATGATGATGATGACGACGGCGATGATGATGATTATGATGATGGTGCTGCTGATGATGATGATGATGATCATCATGATACTAATGCTGATGCATGTCGGTCGGTAGGTAGGTATGCATGTATGTACGCATGGGTAATATAGTGTAATGTAATGTAATGTAGTGTAATGTGATGTATTGTACTCTAGTGTAATGTAATGTAATGTAGTGTAATGAAATGTAAGGTATTGCAATGTAATGTAAGGACTTGTATTGTATTGCAGTGTATTGCATTGTATTGTATTGTATTGTATTGCAATGTAATGTAATGTAATGTAATGTAAGGTAAGGTAAGGTAAGGTAAGGTAAGGTAATGTAATGTAATGTATTGTAATGTAATGTAATGTAATGTAATGTAATGTAATGTAATGTAATGTAATATAATATAATGTAATGTAATGTAATGTAATGGAATGTAATGCGATGCAATGTAATGCAATGTAATGCAATGTGATGTATGCATCTACGTATGTATGTATGTATGCATGTATGCATGTATGTATGTATGTATGCATATGTTTATGTATGCGTGCACGTACGTATGTATGGCGACACGATCGGCCCTCCGCTGTTCCTTCGTGCGTTCCGGCCGCATGCCGAGGGTTGGGCTGCTTGCGACAGTGCGCGAGAGAGGACCCCCACCTGCTGCTGGCGCCTTCGGTCGTGTCTGGCCCCCCCCCTCTGGACCTCAGCCTCACGGAGTTCGCAGACGACCTGTGCAAGCGTTTCGTCTGGTATCGACCTGATGTGCTCCTTGATAACCATATGGCGTCCGACCAGCTTCCAGATGATCAGATGTGGTCATCGAGCGAGCGTCCTTCAAGCAGAACTCGGGCAAGCAGTACACGATCTGTGTTTCTCGCGGACCTGGTTCGCGGGCGCGCGGTCGTGCTTTCTGGGGGGGCGGACGGGCGTGCGGGGGCAGTGCACGCTGGCGGCTCGCTATTTGGGCCCGATGGTGCACGCGGCGGGGACGCCCTCGGTAGAGCTCCGCGCCCGGATCTTGGCGGCGCGGCGGGCGTATTTGGAGATGGGCAACTTCTGTCGCGGGGTGGGCTCCTCGGAGACGCTGCGCCAGGTCTTCCGCTCGAAGTTGTTGGGTGCTCTCTTCTTGGGGACCGCGGCGTTGGCCCCGACTCGGACGTGGACGGCGACGATGCGCAGGACGGCGTTGCGCTACGGAAGCGCTGCCTTGGGCGTTCGGGCCAATGGAGGACGGTGAATTTCGGCACCGAGCACAGCAGAACCAGGTCGTGCAATTTCTCTTGCAGATGGGCGACGTCGCGATCGAGCCCCGCGTGTTGCGCCTCGGGCTCCTCTTCCGGATGCTGCGGCGGCCGTGCGAGCATGAGATGCCGCTGACCGCCGTCTTCGGCTCCCTGCCCCTCGCGCGTGGCCAGGCCATCAGGGCGGACGGGCTCCTCTCGCAGCATGCGCCGCCGCTGGCGCACTTCTTCGTTGACGGCTTGGGGGCGCTCGTGGCGTGCGAGGAGCGGGAGGAACTGCTGGAGTGCTGGGGCCGCCGTCCTCGGCCCCTGCTCGAGGATTCGGAATTCGTGCAGGAGGTGCTCTGGCTGGACCCCCGCATCCTGCGGGTCTGGGGCTGGGCGGCGGCTTTCCCGCCGCAGGCGCAGGTGGCCCCCGAGGTGCAGCACCGCTGGTGGACGATGCGCCCTGATGGTTTGTTTCGGCCCACGCGTGCGCCTCCCGCGTATGTCGACTTGGATTGGTTCTCGTACGCGTGTCCTGAGATGGTCGATGGGGTCTAGTGCCCGGCAGTGTTTCATCAGAAGGAACCCTCACGGCACATCGCGTGCGCGCTCACAGCTATCGTAGTGTGGACGGGGGCGCTCTGTTTGACGAACCAGTGCTGCTGGCGCGGCTCGTGCTCGCGCACGACATCGCCCTCAGGGACTTGGAGACGGCGGCGTTCTCCACCTTCAAGATGCTGGCGGCGATCGCGATGGTGGCGGCAGCCCGCGACGCGGGCAAGGCGTACAGCGCGGCCTGTAAGGGCAAGAGCCCCTCGGTCCACAACATGGGCCCTCCTCTCCAGTACATAGTGGAGGCGTTGAGCAAGCACTTCAAGACTGAGCCGTGCCACGACCAGAAGTACGTCAAAGTGAAGATGGCATGGGCCAGCGAAGCCGACCACGAGACGGTGGCGGAGGGCATCCTGAAGCTGCAGGGCGTGCGGCTGACGGGAGCGGCTCCGCCCGGCGGCCTTTTTCGCGCCCTCCCGAGGTGGCTCGGCCGCTGAGGGCAGCGCAGCAGGGCCAGGCGGCACCGCCAGGCATGGACCGCACGACGTGATCCGCGATTTTGAGGCTGACCGCTGCTGCAGGCGGGCCTCCCGCTGGGCGGCCCGTGCTTGCCCCGCGTGATCGGCGCGACGGTGGTGCTGAGCCTCCTCCTCGCCCTCGGCCTGCCCCGGTTTTCGCGGGCGTTGGGAGGCGGCGACGGCGGCGGAGGTTTTCTCAGGGGGCCCCGCCCGAGGACCCGCCGCGCGAAGGCTAGCCAGCTGGGGGGGGATAGTCAGGCCCAGAAGGGGCCTCGTGCAGGCCCCCATTCTGTTCAAACAAATGTGTGTTTATGTGCATGTATGCATGTATGCATGCATGCATGTATGTATGCATGCATGTATGTATGTATGTATGCATGTATGTATGTATGTATGTATGTAGGTATGCATGTATGCATGCATGCATGTATATTTGTATGTATGTATGTATGTATGTATGTACGTATGTACGTATGTATGTATGCATGCATGTATGCATGTATGTATATGTATGAGTATGTATGCATGCATGTATATATGTATGTATTTATGTATGTATGTATGCATGTGTATATATGTATGTATGTATGTATGTATGTATGTATGTATGTATGTATGTATGTATGTATGTATGTATGTATGTATGTATGTATGTATGTATATATGCATGCATGTATGCATGCACGTATGTATGTATGTGTATGTATGTGTATGTGTGTGTATGCATGCATGTATGTATGTATGTATGTGTTTGTTTGTATGTATGTATGTATGTATGTACGTATGTATGTATGCATATAGTTCATGCATGCATGTATGCATGTATGTACGTACATACGTACGTACGTACGTATGTATGTAGGTATGTACATATGTATGTATGCATGCATGTATGTATGTATGCATGTATGTATGTTTGTATGTATGTATGTATGTATGTATGTGTGTGTGTATGTATGTATGCATGTAACGTGTGTGTATGTGTACATGTGTGCATGCATGCATGCATGCATGCATGAATGTGTGTAAATAGGTATGCATTAAAGTACATCTACACTTGTATGCATACTTGCATGCAAGCATGCTTTTATGCATGCATGGATGCATGCATATATGTATGCATGTAGGTAGGTATGCGACTATGAACGCAAGCATGTAGGTACGTATGTTAGCATGCATGCATGCATGTATGTATGTATGCATGTACGTATGCATGTATGTATGTCGGAGGTGAGGGGGTGAGATCGAAGTGGAACGGAGAGCCCCCCTACCGGGAAATCGATTTCGGTTTCGTGTTCGTGCGTGCCGTGCGGGCGAGGCGAAGCTGCGTGGGCGGGCGAGAGAAAGTCTCCTGTGGCTGAGGCGCGGCCGGACCAAATGTCTCCCTTCCGGGCGGCCGGTGGCCCGCGGTGTCCCGCCGGTGTCCCGCTGGTGTCCCGTGTGGCTGAGGCGCGGCCGGACCAAATGATTCCCTTCCGGGCGGCCGGTGGCCCGCGGTGTCCCGCTGGTGTCCCGCTGGTGTCCCGCGGTGTCCCGCGGTGCCCCGCGGTGTATCGCCGGTCTCCCGCGGTGTCCCGCGATGATGATGATGATGATGATGATGATGATGATGATGATGGTGATGATGAGATGATGATGATGATGATGATGATGATGATGATGATGCTGATGATGATGATGATGATGATGATGGTGATGATGATGATGATGCTGCTGATGATGATGATGATGACGATGATGATGATGATGGTGATGCTGATGATGATGATGCTGATGATGATGAGGACGATGATGATATGATGATGATGATGGTGTCCCGATGATGATGATGATGATGATGATGATGATGATGATGATGATGACGATGATGATGATGATGATGGTGTCCCGATGATGAGGATGATGATGATCATGATGATTATGTTGATGATCATGATGATGACGATGATAGTGTCCCGATGATGATGAGTATGATGATGTTGATGTTGATGATGCTGATTATGACTGTGTCTCGATGATGATGATGTTGATGATGATGAGGTTGATGATGATTATGGCGTCCCGATGATGATGTTTATTCTGATGGTGATGATGATGATGTTGATGATGATGGCGTCCCGATGGTGATGATGATGATGATGATGTCGATGCTGATGTTGGTAATGATGATGATGGTGCCCCGATGATGACGATGATGATGCGGATGATGAG